ATGTGATTGATTTTGTCTTCAACAGACTGTTAAAGCACTGAACCACTTAAAAGAAAACTTGAAAATAATTCACAGAGGTAAGTTTTATTCTCAAATTGTTGTACGATTTATATGGAATTGTGAGTACAAGCCAAAATTAAATGATGGCATTTGGATGACTTCTGTGTCTATTTAATACTTCTCATCATTTTAGACATCAAACCTTCCAACATTCTAATGGACCGAATGGGTAATATCAAGCTGTGTGATTTTGGCATCAGCGGTCAGCTGGTGGACTCCATAGCCAAGACCAGAGACGCAGGCTGCAGGCCTTACATGGCGGTAAGCATCTGCAGTGATAAGAGCTGAATGTGTCGGGCAGACATTCAGATGTCAGGATACTGAGCCGTCTGTCTTTTCCTTTTAGTCACTTCAGAACTAGTGAGAATAAAAAAAGATTTAGCGAATTGATGAATCTCTTTCCTTACATCATTGTGTATTAAGGAATTACATTTCAATAATGGCCATTTAGACTGATAAACAGCTGACAAATTCAAAATAAAAAAAATGTAGATTTACAAAGTAAATGCACCCATGGCGACAGACCATACAAAACAGGTCCAATGTTATCTCATTAAACGCATTAAGGGCAGTGAGGTTCCGGTTCTGGCTTTACCAGGTTTAGGGCCCTGCTCATGTTTGAGCCTGACCTTTGACCTCTCCATGGAAGGCGAACACAGTCCTGTGGGTTGAGTGAAGCATCTCAGTATTACCAAGTGTTTTTTTTGTGTGTGTTTCAGCCTGAAAGGATAGACCCCAGTGCTTCCAGACAAGGCTATGATGTCCGGTCTGATGTGTGGAGTTTGGGTATCACCCTGGTGAGACAAATGATGTCGTCAGCTTTATCATGAAATCTAACCCATAGTTATGTCTGCGCTAGTTTGACTGGACAGAGCTGTTGCAGTGAGGACAATCCAGTCCATCACAGTCTGTTTGCTTTCAGTACGAGCTGGCCACAGGACGGTTCCCCTACCCCAAGTGGAACAGTGTTTTTGATCAGCTGACACAGGTGGTGAAAGGTGAACCTCCCCACCTCAGCAACTCAGAGGAGAGGCAGTTCTCCCCCATGTTCATCAACTTTGTTAACCTATGGTAAGCACCATTAGCACTCATACATACATACAGGCTGATCTCTGATCAGTGTGTGAAATACTCCACTTCATTCATTACTGAAAACATTTTGAAACAGCTGAGCGTGAAAGTTCTTTCTTGGCCTTAAGAATTGAAGTACGAGCTTTAGTCTGCAGCCACACAAACCAACATTTGCTGATGAAGACAATGTAAAGCCGTTTTAAAGGTCCATAATGGAGCAGAGTCTGCCACTGAACACTTGTATCCCTATGCTGATGGAGATTCTTCTCCCTCTGTCCAGCCTTACGAAGGACGAATCAAAACGGCCAAAGTACAAGGAGCTTCTGGTAAGTTCTTGGACTGTTCTTTAGTTTTTACACCCGTCTCACAAATCAGTACTTCAGATCAAGAGCATGTGTAATTAGTGGTAATGGTGCTGGTTCTGAACTGTGGATAGATTTGATAGTGAGTGTACTGTGGAGATGTTAGACAGTTTTCTGCATTTTATACCATGCAGGTTATGAGTTAAAGGAGACTATTGACACACTGTAACCATGGGATAGACAGGGGACATACTATCATTTGGGTATAGTTCACTTTAATGAAACATTCTGTATTTTTCAGCTAAATTACATTTGGCCAAGAAATCAATTCCTCAATTCCTGAACCAGACATTTGAACCTTTTAAAGCAGCACTAACTAGTTTTATGCAAACAATGGATCAAATGACAAATTAAATAATGTGACTGACTAATATTAGAGAGATTAGCTCATTGTTTTTGCTTTCCTGTTGTTTTTTATTTTATTTTTTTTAAATCAATGCAGCTTTAAAAATAAGCAAAATATTCTCCCATTTCTATCTTTTTGCTGCCTCTATAATTTGTGTTTATGTCAAATATACGTAGCGTTATGTATCCCAGGCAACTAGTTCAACACATAATTAGCCCTCAGTTCTTTTTATGAAACCAAAAAGCTCCTCTGTGTCTCACATCAGCCTGAAGCTCATTGTGTCCTTCCTCTAGAAACGTCCCTTCATTCTGATGTATGAAGAGCATTTCGTGGACGTCGCCAGTTACGTATGTCGCATCCTGGATCAGTTCCCCACCTCTCCCATCTCTCCTATGTACGTGGACTGATGGAGTCAGGCTGGGGGGGGGGGGGAGGCTTACCCACCATGCAGTGGGTGGGACACTTAGCTTTGTGATGCAATGCTTGACATCAAAGACTTACTGTATGTAGGATCACCTGTTCATTCACATGTTCCAAAGAACAAAGGAACTAATTCCACATTGCCCGGTGCAATAAGATGATAAATGTAAGCAAACCTCCACCTCCCAACAAGTCAATGTCAAACATGCACTATATACACAGTCTACCAAATAGAATGTAGAACAGGGACACTCATGAAATTAGCCACCAATTGGATTGTACAACGTGGACTGTATGTATGCATATGTGTGTTTACTTCTGAACTGTTGACCTGTACAGATGTATGCTGATCGACCTGCAGTCCAAACACACACACACACAGTTTGGTGTGGGCACCTTCTCTCATGGTAAATGAATAAGTATGCAATAGTGTTTCTCTCTGGAGAGCTCATGGATTCGGTAGTGTGGCTTTACTTCTGTCTGATTTTTCAATATGCAATCTGTGAGTGTGTCCTGACACATGATCACATCTGATGGCCACAGTTTGTACCTTTCATGCGTTATCATCACGTTTCAGTCAGAGAGCTCAGCGTCAAAGAGAAATCCCTAAACCCAGAAGATCATTCAACACAACTTCTCACAGTTCTGAAGTTTTTTGTAGAATTGCTTAAACTCTGTTCTCTGTCTCTTGCTCTCTCTCCAAGCTGTCATCCAATAAAGCAGGAATGCTGAACATTTTTTTTAACCCTCTTCTGTCCATCTGGATCAACTATATATTATTTTATATATAATCAAAATAAATAAATCATGATATCTGGTTTTTCAGAGGTGGTTTCTCTTTCACATTAACGGTTGTTTAGCTCTGTCACTCAAACATAATAAGATGCTGAAACTGGGGCTAGTTCATTGCGTCATGTCCTGATGTAGAGTTGCTTGAGGACATCCTGTCCACTGATGTTGATGTGTATGTATATGGTGCATTCTAATCTGCTGTTCCTGGCACGTTCTGCTTGACAGTTGAGGCTCGTTCAAATCAGACAGTAAGGAGGTCTGGGTGCAGAATGAAAGTGTGTCTGTATGTTTCAGTTTGACAGTGAGTCCTAATGCTCCTCAGCAGCCTGCCTTAGCACTGTACAGTTAAACTACTCATCCACACTGATCACAGATCCACCATGCTGCCATATAGAGGCAGACAGTAGTGACTACATTTTTAAAAGTCCTGGCACGTGTGTCCTGTCGAGAACAATGACACCTTTAGATGCTGCTAAATGACAAAATGTCCACTTCTGTACGCACCACACAACTGACAGGAGAGGAGGAAGATCTCTCCTCTCCTGTCTCTTTGACCCTTCAGGTCACCCTGGACTCAGCATGTCTCTGGCTTGCACTGATAATAGAATGTTTCCCACGCCAAACATATTTCACAAAGGATGCATCTCCGTAGCCCAGAATGCGTTCCCTCACCGGTTTTTCTCCACCGGGGCTGATCTACTACAGTTTACCGTACCAGGACAGATGGAGGGGAAGCCGCATCTAGAGACTATGGAGATCCCCGCAGAGAGCCACGTCTACCAGGAGAGTGGAAGTTAGAGTTGGCTACATAACCAAACTGTTTGTATGGATGGTGGCCCTTCAAAACTGGGACACTGTAGAGACTTGTAATGTAATGAATTACTTTAACGGATAAGGATGGCAATATTTATGTTTTCTTCTTTGTCGACAAATCCCATAAATGTATGATTGAATATTGCCAGACTTTTCTTTTAACCTAGCAAATACTAAAAATGTAAAGTAATTCTATGCAACATCAGCCAGGCAAGAGGTAGACCGTGACTTGATGATGGTGAGATGGATGTATTACTATTATTGTTACTCGTCAAGTTTCATGTGAAACAATACATGTTTTGATCAACATTACTATGTTTGGCTCTTTACCCACCTTATTACATTTAGCTTCACTACATTAAAGGAATTGTCTTACTTAAAGAGCAATTTTAGCGTAGTACTTTCATAAAGTTAGGAGTCTAGCGAGAGACTGATTTTAAAAAAGGGTCAAAATTGATGCAGCAAAGGCTGATGTGTCCTAATTTTTGGTCATTCATGTGGATCAAGCTTCAAAACGAATAATCCTGATGACAGGCTATTTTCTCAGACATGACAAAGTGCCTGTTTTCAGAGGCTGGCTCGTGCTAGTATGATTCTAAACTGATGAGTTTCCCGTGACATTTTAAAAGAGAATTCTACGCCATAGGCCGCTACAGATGTCAGCCATGTTGGAAGATGGCCACCATCATGGAGATGTGTTGGGGAGTCTGGGGTCATTTGTTAAAAAACAAAAACAGACTTGTTGAATACTTGAGGCTTATTCAGGCGGTAAACCATTACAGCCAACCTGGTGGAGGTGCAGTGTAGACCAGATGTGTTTCTCTCTGTAGATGAAATGGAGGATTCTGTCGGCTCTATTCTCTGCTGTTCTATCTGTAATGTGAAATGGTGCGATAACCCACAGGTCCATTTCACATGACAGATGGAGCCGTTACTGCAAACAGAGTCCAGATCTGTTGTTTATTATGGGATACATCTCCAGGAAGCTAACGTACCACTGGTGAATATGAATCTCCAGGGTACATGTTGTGTAAACTGCAATTTACTAGAATGTTCATATTAGATTATATGATATTAAGGGAAATGAATATTATATTGTATCTTTATCGAGGGTTACAAACAAACTTCCCATGGAAAATATTGAAAACCTGTATTGTGTGCTTCTTGTGAATTAGACATGAATAAAAGAGGAAATGCAGAAATGATTTTGCTGTGATAGGTTTATTGCTCTTCTTTCTGTAGTATACAGGGATGCAGGCAAATACTGTTTTTCATTTTATAATAGTAAAGCAAGTCGGTGGCCAAGCAACATGGAAGCTTCTGTCTGATGTGATTTTGTTTCCTGATTAGGGAAAATGATGAAATGAACCCCACCAGGTAAAAAAGCCCTGTAAATATTCTTATAACGGAAGACATGAAGTGAAAAATATCAGCTTTGTCATATATTCAAGATGGGCATTCATTGCCTACATGTAACCATAGAAACCCTTTAACAAGTGCAACACTTCATAAGTAACAGGAAAAAAAACAGATTTGGTCAAACAGAACACGCAGTGAGACCCACGTCTACAGGCAACAGAAATGTGTTGGAAATGTATAAGTTTGACATTTGGGATGTATATTTATTTGCTTTCTTCACAATAGTTAGACGAGACTCAACGCCTTCCTTTAAAGTTTTTACATATCGCAGGAAAGGACATTTACAGACCAAAAGTACAAACCTTTGAGATCTTGTGAGTGAAACTACTGTGTGTATAAGCTGTCTCTGCTACACGGTTATGCTGTGTTAATATGCAGTGTTCACAGTAAGGATCTGAATATTATATTGTATCTTTATCGAGGGTTACAAACAAACTTCCCATGGAAAATATTGAAAACCTGTATTGTGTGCTTCTTGTGAATTAGACATGAATAAAAGAGGAAATGCAGAAATGATTTTGCTGTGATAGGTTTATTGCTCTTCTTTCTGTTTCCATTTTCCTATTCACAAGTGCTAATAATAGACATAGGCATGTCCACTTAGTAGGATTCTTTAAAGAAAGGTGATTTAAGAAAGCATGGCTTTTGGAAGTGGTTCCTTCACTTTGTATCACATTTGTAAGATATACTAAGAAATGTTCATGGTCATAATGGCAGCACTGGAGTTTTCCCATTAAATCAAAGAGCCCCAATTTATGAGAAAGGAATGTCAGTATAAATACAGGATAAAGTATAAATATAACAACACAAAATAAATAACTGTGGCCTGGGAATAGAAAGAGTGGGATTTGTGAGGACAAAAAGCTACTTATTAAGAACACATTTTTCATTAAATTTTTTTAACATTTGTCTGAAAAACTGATGTTGGATTTGTCTATATTAATATCTCTCAACAGCTTTTAGTTAATAGCACATACTTATACATTGTAAAGGGGAAACTGGAATAAAAATTGTTTAAAAAAAAAAAGCTGCTGCAAATAAGGTACATTGTGTCTGCCGATCTAAACCGATAAGACCAAAGACATTCATTTCTTTTCTTAATGTCATTCTGTGGTTCAACATGCCAAATAGTGAAAAGAAACTTGTTTAAAAAAAAAAGGTCCTTCAAAAGGAATGCCAACCGTTTCTACACACATTGTAAGCTCAAACTGTGACAAATGTGTTTTCAGCTAGAGGTGCACAGTGAGATAATGTTGACATATTTACATCATTTGATGAACTGATTACATAATTTGTGGTTTGTGTCTTCTCCCACACCACTGACAAAATATGCAGACTTGTCTCTGTCAGTACAGATAGTTAAGATATTTACAAAATGGCCGTACCAAGCAATCCTATTCAACTTGTAATTCCTTTCTTTTTTTTCCAGTAATACAAACATAGACTCAGAAAATATACAATGATTGTCAAAATGTGTCTTCAAGTCTAGGAAGCGTAACACTGATATTGCATGACGTGTTGGTATAAAGCACTGTAATCATGTAATCCATTACCTAGGAAAGCCTTCATTTCACCCTTCACTCTCATACTTATGTGGCAGTTGTGCGCATCCTTGTCCAAAAAGGACCTAGTCTTTGGATTCTGGGTACGATGGCAACACCAGAACCTAATTTCTCTGAAGTGGAGGGAATAAGTCAATATATAATTCTGTAGTTCAACTAAGCCGCCAGTCTTTGAATGTAGGCTAATGGACTACTTAATGTCACATCCCACTGTATTACAACAAGAGGCACAGTGTGGCACTTGGACTGAAGCTGTTAAGGTAGAAGTCAATAGTTCTTTGGCATGGCTATAGCTGATATCAGCGCTCCGTACAGCTACTTGTAAGCTGGTGTCTTGTGATTGATGCTAGCATGTCGCGGCGTTGGTCTCACCAGTGCTCCAGGTGAAGGTCCATGGCAGAGTTCAAGTTAATGTCTGTGACATCCAGGAACTCTGTGTTGAAGATGCTGGGCCCACTGGGAGGAGCAATACTGAAGGCCGTGGCCAAGCTGGGCGGCGTCAGGTCCAGCCACTCCATCGTCTCCCACGGCATCTCGCTGAAAGTCATGCTGACCATCCCCTGCACCTCGGAGACGGTGGACACCTTGGTGCTGATGGGCGACAGAGGGGTGTCCATCAGATCTCTGTTGGTCAGAAGTTTGTCCTGTTGGGGATGGTGAGGCTGGCGGTGGTGGTTGTGGGGGCTGCCGTACACCTCGCCATCTCTGTTTCCTTCATCTTCCTGACCCCCGTCCTCGGCAGCCATTTTATGAAGAGCCACCTCTCCTCCCCGGCCAATTGGACTTCCCAGCAGATTCTCCAGGTGGCTCTCGGTGATGTGATTGGCCGGGTGGTTGTAAGGGAGCTGGGTGGGGGACAGGTGTTCGTAGTGTCTGTGGAACCTAGGGATGAGGAGGCCGGGACACCCTGGGGACACAGTAATGTGAGGCACAACTTTGGTTACAGAGGCCCTCTCCCTCTCTTCTCTGGCGTTAGCTGGCATCTCTTGAAGAGAAAGAGGAGAGGAGGGAGGGTCACAGCAGGCACTGGGATCCCAGACCAATGTGTGGGGCAACACTGTGATGTCAAACCAATGCTCTTTACATGTAGATTTAAAACCAGCCTGCTTATGCATGTACAGTCCTAGATATGCTACCATTTGTTGTGGAATTTAACCTTACCTCCACTCTCTATGAGCACATCTAAAAGTTCGTCCATCTGCTGACTTCTGGTCAGTTGCTGTAACAGTAATAAGAAAGTGATTATTTTTATCAGTTGAACAATATTTTAACAATTCAAAATGTAATCCAATTATTTTAAAGGATTTTACATGAAAAATATGCAAGTTTTCAAGCAGTTTACAAAGACTTACAGAATGGAGTTTTGGCAATACAAACTTTTCTTGGAGACAGACCAGTTTATTGGTTGAGATACAACTAAGGCCAAAAGAGAGACACTTTCTCTAAAAACAATATTCCATTTCCATCCATTGTATTACGGTGAAGACTTCTTCTAGACCGATATCTCAAACACCGTACAAATGAAACCAAAACCGCTTTCCAAAACTACTATACCTCGATACCACAGTACCACTTTCTGTCATTTTGGTGACCCTCAATGTTAGCATTCCTAGGTTAGCTATCAAGCTAGTGGGGCCACTGTGGCTCAGGAGTCAGAGCGGTCGTCCACCAATCATAAGGGCTGTGGTCACGACGAAATGTCCTTGGGCAAGATATGAACCCCACATTGCTCCTGATGGCTGTGCGATCAGTGTGTGTGTGTGTGTGTGTGTTAATAGCTCCTGATGAGCAGGTGGCACCTTGCATGGCAGCCTCTGTATAATTGGGTGAATGTTGACTTGTAGTGTAAAACACTTTGAGTAGTCGCTGAAACTAGAAAAGGGCTGTATACTAAATGCAAGTCCATTTACCATCTCGTAGCCTTAACGATCCAATAATAAACCTTTAACATTAAGAAACAATTTTTGATTCCTCAAGTTTCTTTTCTTTTTTTTTTATTATTGTGACCAAGTTACATCTGCCTTCATAAAACTTTTGTACGACTAAAACAGCAATCTGCTTCAGACTTGGTAAAGGGTGGAAAGTTAGCAGTGAACAAAGCGAATGGATGAATAAAAGAGGTGCAATACAGGTGATGGACTGGAGAGACAAAAAAGAAAAGACAGGAGGGAGAGTGGAATTAGAGCGACGCCGATAGGTCAAATAAAATCTCTGGCCAGCCAATATCTAGTGAATTTTAGCATGAATTTCAGTTTACCTGCTTGACTGCATCCTCATAGCGTGGGGGCTGTCTTAAGTCTGATGCATCTGAATCTGAGCTACTGAAGGCAGGGGGAGAGACCTGGCACTTTTGGCCAACATGCCGAGGAGAGGGCACTACTGACATCTATATGAGACATAGTGAAAAGTGACATTAGCCCACCAATTAGAATAGGGAAGCTTACCAAATGTGAGTGTATTGCAGACTTTAAAAATGAAAAAAGAACTATGAATCAGGCCCTCGAGATGGAATAATCTCATCACATTAAACATTGCATCTTAAGAAAATGGTTGATGTGTTCTTGTAACGGAAAAGTCACCAACATGTGAAGGAATATGTGATGAAAACTGAAAGACAAGAGTGACAATGCACCTAAAAAAAAGACAATCATAGAGACAGATCACAAACGGATAGAAAAGAGAAAAAAAAAAACGTTTACGTGAATGTGAGGTGATTCAGATGAAGTACATGACACGGACATGACAACATTGCAAATGTTCTTAATGGTGACATAATGTTTACCTTTGGTTGCATATTGTGGTTGTCAGGCTTGGCTGAGCCGCTGTGGCCACAATCAGTGGAGTTGGTAAAGACTCCCTGAAGACCTCTTTGGTCAGAGGGATAAGAGCAGTTCACCGCCTGGCCACCGTTCTTCTGCTGCATCTTGTAGTTAGACAAAAGTAACATGTTAGAAAACAAGTAAAATCATCATATACATGAACGCCACATCAGAGATACAGGTATATTTGGTACTGACATTCTTATTTTCCACAGGATGAATGATAAATACATCCCCTCTAGTGCCATCACCTGGTCAAAATCTTAATTTCCCCAATACTTTATTTATGACCAAATGCTTGAAAAAGTCAAGCATGCTAGCTAACCTTTGCTAATTAGCTCTAAGTACAGCTGAGGCTGATGGGAAGGTTATTAGTGAACTAAACTAAGATGGCAACATAACATGCCAAACAATACAAGTGGTATTGGGCATCTTTTTCCCAGGACAAATGGATGAATTTGTCCCGTTACGTATATTCCAGAAGAATCAGTGGAGATAATATTTTTTTATTGTAACCATCATTTGTTTTGGCCTAATTATACTTATGAAACAGAAGACAGAGAGGTGCCTTCCTAGCACCTAAAGTCATGACTGTGTGTGTCGTTAATACGGTTGTTAATAGGCTAAGTCACGACTATGCAGATGTTTGTGATATATACACATGTATATAAAATGGGTTTAGATTGAGAGTCAGCACTAGCTGCTGTACCTAAATACAGCCGCACAGAGTCAGCATGGCTGTAGAAACTCCTTTACGCAAATCAAAAAATAATAACCAAGTAACAATCAGTCAGATTACCAACATTTGTATTTCTAACCTTGGTATTATTTCACCTGGTATTATTCTAGATAACTTGACTGACTTCTCCACAGAACATATAAGAATCAAATGTCTGTCCATGAACACATCATACCTGTATGTTGCGTGCTCTGTTATTGGCCTGGGGGTGGGGGTGACCGCAGCCGTCTCTTCCCAGCGGAGGTGACAGCAAGTAGGGTTTGTTGGGAGATGAAGGCTGGGAGCTACTGGAAGGCTTTCCGATGGGGGAGTCTTGTGGCGAGCACTGTGGACTGAGGAAAGCAGACATTGTGGAGGGGCTGCCAGAGGAAGTGTCCATACATTGTGGCCCTCCGGGGCCCCCTATATTGGAGAGGGGGTTGTTGCAGCGTCCCATATCCTCCATGCAGCTGCCAGCAGAGCTCTTCAGCTGTTTGGGAGAGGACAGAGGGCAGCTGGAGGACAAGGACATGGGCTCCTGCTTGATAGTCACCCCAAAGAAGTGCTGGCCCATCATGGCTGGAGTCTGCTGGTGGTGCATGGAGGGGTGAGACGGAGGGGGGACGGTGTCCTGTGTTGCTCCATAGCAGCGTTTCCTCTTGTGGAGCTGCATCCTCAGCTCCTCAACCTAGCAAGCGGGGGGACAAATGTAAATGTGTTGGTCAATACTGAAATACATGTGTTGTGAAATGTCCCTGTAAAGACGCTGTATAGCGTAACACATTATTTAATTGAAAATAAAGCTTTGAAAAAAACATCTGTTGTTGCCCCCGCTGATTCTTTTACATATGTCCTTCATATTATTTCAGATTTAATGTTGACTTGAACCTCTACTGTAGACTGATACACAACTAGATACTCACCTGTCTCTGCTCCTGGTGCAACTTCCACGTCAGCTCCTCAATCACCTTCTGCTTTTCCACCAGCATCTTATCTTTTTCAGCTTCCTCGCCATCCACACCTCCCCCCTCCCCCGCCCTCGGGCCTCCCCCGCACAGGCCGTCCTCCATGCCGAGCTGGGCCGGAGATGGCTGCAGGGCGAACTGCGTCGGCGAGGACATGGGCACGTCGCTGAAGCTGTCGGGGAGGGAGCCACTGAGGGACAGCTCGGAGGAGGCAGGAGAGATAGGAGGGGTGGAGGAGGTGCTGGGGTAAGGGTAGTAGCCTCCCTGGGACAGGGCGCTGGAGGATGACGGAGACTGGTAGGAGGACAGGGATCCTGTGGGTGTGACAGGGAAGGTCACTGTGGTGATGTCAGAGGAGCCAGAGGGCGAGGAGCCGGCGTTTGAGTCCTTGAAGGGTCGGAGGCGCTCGATGAGGGCCGTCTTGGTGCCGGAGACGGGCATGCCACGAATACGCAGGTGCTGCCTGAGCTCTGATACCTGACACAGCAAACACAGGCATGTTAACATCTCTTCTAGTGTTTCTCGTGCCAATTTTTCTTATGTTAATTTGACTCTGTGTCACCTACTTTTAGGTCATCCAGATTAGCCGGTAGGGGCCCAGGTTGGACCGGTGAGATGTTGCTTTGGTTGGCGTATGTGTTCTTGACTGGGGAGGAGGAGTTACTGTTGGCTTGGCTGGATGGACCGTTGGGGCTACAGGCTGACAGCTGCTCACCGGCTCCTCTTTAGTGGCAGAATTGAAGTGGGTTAGTCACATCGTAGAGTAAAGGAAGGAACAGTAAAAACTTGGGACCACTTTCTAATCAGACAATCAAAGATGGATCTTATATTATAAGGAATGGTATTAATAATACGTCTTCTACTAATGCTTTATAGACCAGCTAGTCTTGCACGTCAAGTGACTAAGTTACGGCTCTCATAAGAAAGTGAAAAACTCATGACCCTTTATTAATGACTTACTAATAATGGAAGCTTTCTTACTTTCTAAGCCAATAAGTATACAGATATACATATTAGTAAGGCATTAATAAAGGGTAATGGGTAGAACTTTCTATTACACTAAAATATCAAAAATAATTTAGTGCAATAGTTCATTTTATTAACTATTAATGAGGCCATTTGTTCCAATCTTTATAACAAAAATGGTAAAAGGGATCAAAGTGTGCATTTTATGTGTGGAAATTCATGTTTGACCTTAGTAACAGTAGTTTCACACAACAAACTCTGTCCCATGATGAAGACTGTAAAATCATGTGGTTGAAAGCTCCAGGAAATGCTCGTAAGGAGACCTTGAGTAAAAGATGATTTAATGTGACTCACTTCTGGGTTTGGGTTGCTGGGTGAGGCTGGTAGCTGAAAGAGGGCTGCCGCTGCTGAGCCTGGGCCTGGGCCTGTGTCTTTGGAGTGTGAGTGTGTGAGTGCTGCTGCGACTGTGGGTGTGTGTGAGCGTGTTTCTGCTGGCTGAGGATCTGCAGCTGCAGGAAGAGCTGCTGTTGCTGGAGGAGTCGGGCGTAGGCCGAGTCCATGGGCGGAGGGGACTTCTCGGCCTTCTGGTCCGGAGGAATGTACTGGTGGTACTTGAGCTTCTTCACCTTCGGCTTCACATCTTTGGGCTTCTTCTGTCGGTTCTTGTCTGAAGTCTTGGACTGTTCGGAGGAAGGAGGGTGAGATAGAATGAGCACGAGCTGATGGTCTTAATTAGGCATTTAAAATGAAAAGTGTAAAGTCAATGAGTGTCACCAACTCAAAAAGCAAAGGGACGATGAAAGTAAATTCATTAAATGATGCTGACCTTGACAATAGCAGGAACAGGTATTGGGGGAGAAGCCTGGCTGTTGTTGGCATCAGACAGCCCTTCATCCTGGCCTTGATCAGGTGGGTCTCTGGTTGCACCTCCCTGTTCACAAACCAAACAACACACTGTATATTGTCTTCTCTGTGTCCACTCAGAGCCACTCTAACCGACTCTAACAGAAATGCACATTTGTAAATGGAATATCTTTGAGTGCTGAAGCTCTGGGTGAACATAACAGGACATTTGAAGATGCCACCTGTGGATCTTTCACAATTGTTTGCATTTTACAGGTAGAACAGTAACCAGCTCATTGAAGTGTCACACTAAAGAGTCTACAGCCATGTTAGCAGCTCTGTGAGGCTCTACTTAGTCACAGCGATGCTTTGAGCTAAAAGCTCTAAGGATGATGGGAATGTCTAAATGCTTCATTTGGTCAACAGATTAATTCATCAAGCTGCTATATGACTCCAGCTGTTGATTCAGAGATGACATCTGAGTCTGAGGATGGAGGTGTAGTTCACTCTGTCACCACAAGAGGGCAAAAGAAGCACCGCAGTGGAAACAACTGCTGAAGGTGCAACAATGTCTGACAGAGCAGAGATGACCTCCACGCTGTCAGGAGAGAGAGGTGTCTTTTACCTGTCGTGGGCTGGTTAGGACAGGTGAGGAGGAGGAGGAGGGCGTACTGCCGACAACCTCCGATGAAGGGCAGGCCGAGCCCTGCGACTCATCACTGTGGTGCTGCTCCGGAGACAGACTCTCACTGCTGCTGTCTTCCTCGAACGCATAAGAGTCCTCCTGCTTCTGGAACTTACCATGGTTTACTGTAAGAGGAGCAGAGGGAGATGGGTGGGTCAGTATGCTTTACCTCCAGATTACTGAGAAATGAAAGAGGGATTTTTTTTTATAGTACGTTTTTGTTAAACTGGGGTTTTATTTTAGTTGTCAAACCATAATTTCTATTCATTGTGATAACTTTATGCTCACTAAATTTACTGCTGAGACCCGTGAACAGAGCAAAGAACACATGAAAAAAGAAACACGACTAGTCGGATGATCAGGCAGGTTTATTCAGATTATCTGGTAAAACTGAGAGTAAGCACATCCTAAATGTCACCAATAATCCTGGGTCAAAGTTCAACTAGAAAGCCAGTAAACTGTGATGGCTGCTTACCACTGTCAGTTTGGGAAATTATTTTACCATCTGTCTTTGTTTTCTCTGCCAAATAAAGGTGTCTAAACTGTTAAAAGCCTGACAGCTGATCCCTTTTCTTTTTAGTGACTAGTGCAGGGCATGTTCAGGGCGTGGCCGTTAGGGGCACACCGTTCTGAGTGGGGCAAATCCTCGGCCCCTGGAATTGCTGCTTGCAGCATTGTCTCCGGGCCTAATGATACTATAGTTTTACTGTACTAAAAAATAAAATGTGTAGTACAAGAAGCAAACTCTTTTCAGCAATGACTCAGTACGTAGGTTGAGTGTGTAATGTTAGTGTCCAGTCGAGAGAGAGCGTGTGTGTAATGATGAGTCGAAAGTTAGCAGTAACGTTATTGCTGTGAATGAGCAGTGCAGTGTGTGTGGACACAGCGTAGTGTGTGGGTGTGTGTGTGAACACAGTGCAGTGTGTGTGTGGACACAGTGTAGTGTGTGTGTGTGTGTGTGTGTGTGTGTGTGTGTGTGAACACAGTGCAGTGTGTGTGCGTGGACACAGTGTAGTGTGTGTGTGTGTGGACACAGTGTAGTGTGTGTGTGTGAACACTGTGTAGTGTGTGTGTGTGTGTGTGTGTGAACACTGTGTAGTGTGTGTGTGAACACTGTGTAGTGTGTGTGTGTGTGTGTGTGTGTGTGAACACTGTGTAGTGTGTGTGTGAACACTGTGTAGTGTGTGTGTGAACACTGTGCAGTGTGTGTGTGTGTGTGCGTGGACACAGTGTAGTGTGTGTGTGTGTGTGAACACTGTGCAGTGTGTGTGTGTGTGTGAACACAGTGCAGTGTGTGTGCGTGTGAACACTGTGCAGTGTGTGTGTGTGTGTGTGTGAACACAGTGCAGTGTGTGTGTGTGAACACTGTGTAGCATGCAGCAGATGATCAGATGATAAAAAACTTATTACAACCATAAGAGACTTGAGACATGACTAGGACTTGCCAAAATGACTTGAGCATCTCTGTTATTGAGCTTCAGGCTCTCATGAAAGCTCTGTTCATGCTGAGTCAACTTATATACAGTAAAATAACGAGCAGATACACAGAGGTCATCTCAGAGGTATAAAGGGTCAACATTATTGGTTGATGAGAAACTAATACTATCTTCAGTTTGTGCCATTTGGAAGCTCTGGCCTGGCTGCCTGTAACATCTGCACACTCAGCATTGACAATTGGAGAGGACAAATGTCTTCTAACTCCAGACTCTCTCTTCCTGATTGTTTGTATGGACCTGCTTATGCAGCACAATGTATGTGACCAGTGGTACTCACACACCGCCTGTCTGTCACTGACACCTCGTACGACACTCAGCCCGGAGGTGTTACGCTGTGTGGGTGAGACACGGACACTTTACATCCACCACGCTCCTGATTGTGAACACAGCTTTAATTGGATGAGCTAAGAGTGGCTATCTAACAGAGCTGAAGGGACAGAGCCAGGGGAGGGAGGTGGTAAGGGTTGGTGTGTGTGTGTGTGCGTGCGTGCGTGCGTGCGTGCGTGCGCGTGCGTGTGCGCGTGTGTGTCTGCACAGAGGTATAAGATTCTCTTTTTGTATCCAAACATGTGACAGGCAGGAACAGAACCTGGTTTCAATCACAGCACCAGGATCAATCTGTGCAACTCAGTGACCTCGCAACACACACTCTCACAAAGCTTTACACACAGCTTAGCGCACAGCATTGTGCTAAATGCCATTTCCTCCCACCTGTTCATGTTTAACTCATTCACTCCCCAACATGCATTCTCAATGGGTCATATGTGAAGTTGTTGGTGTTGGTGCCTGTATTCCCTGCTACTTGCTATTTCCATGAGTCTTTAAGTCAATTTGATGTCAGCGGGAGATTGAGATGGCAGAATTGCAGGAAATCTGCGAGCCGTGTGCACTTCCGCTTGTCAAGTGGCTGGTTTAGAAGTTACAGCGGGTCACATAGTTTCCAAAATGACAGGGGTTGAAACAATCTCTGGGAGTGTTGTGTAAAGGGATATAGAGCTTTAAGGTGAGGGGTTAATGCTACAGGCGAGGGGAACACAACAGCCTGGTCCTGTCACAGAGCTTTGTAGGTGGCAGACTGGAGCCATGGAGGCCAGCTAAAGCAGAGACAAAAGGAGGGAGGACAGGAGATAGGTACAAACATACACACAGGTACGCCCACACAAGGATGCACTCAAACTTAAACACTCACCGCCACTTCGAAAGAAAAAGGGTGGACCCAAATACAGCTGCTGTTCATCTTAATAAACGGCGCTCCCTTCCTCCTGCAGAGGTAGTGTAAACCAGCTGACTGCAGCCCGCCGTTTTACGCAACATGTTTACTGGAAGCTCAAGGGGGCAAACATAAAAACACCAGAGTTTAAAAAACATTGGTCACACTGCCAAGAATTATATAGAGAGAGTGAGTAAGACAAACAGTGCGAGTTCTGAGTGGCGCAGTGGGACGGCTCAGGCCCGATGCTTCGCACAGCGCCAAATCAATGGAGCGTCTTGTTGCTTGTAGTGTACTTTCTTAAATCAAACACTGGAGGAGGTGGAGGGCTCAGGAGGGCTCCCCATACACTTAAGTCCACAATGTACATTTTTAAATTTGACATTGCATCTCTTTTTAAAGTTTTCAGCGCCACAACAAGGAGATCCACACTGGATCAAGATGGATCAAGAGATTTTCAGAAATATGCACCATGTTCTAAAAATGGAAATAAAATGATCTGTGCAAGAAATACAAATAAATAGTTTTTCCTGCTATGAAACTTGGATCACATTGAGGAAAAACTGGAAATAGGCAGTGAAAGAGTCCGCTTAAATATAAAGGTGGAAAGAATGACCTTTCTTCTACATTTTTCTGTTCCACTTCCTAAAAAGTCACCCATTACTAAGAAAAAATTAAAAATGAATCAATAGTTATTACATAACATACTAATGCTTTATAGATCAGTTATAAGCCATTAATAACAACACATTTGGTGTTGTTGTGAAAGAAACATGACTGGCTGTTTTTTATTCTTTCTATTTGGTTATACAAAATGGTTGGGGCGACTGTGACTGTAGAGCAGGGTCGTCCTTCAATCAGAGGATCGGGGTTTTGATCTCTGGCTCCGCTAGTCCATGTCGATGTGTCCTTGGGCAAGACACTTAACCCCAAATAGCTCCCGCAGGTCTATGAATGTGTGTCAATGTTAGTTAGAGTCCTGATGGGCAGGTAGCCCCTGTCATCACTGTATGAATGGATGTGAATGATGACATCTAGTGTTGAAGTGCTTTGAGTGGTCGGAAGACTAGAAAAGCTCTATACAAGTACAGTCCATTTACCATTTATAATACAGTTGTAAATGTTGGTAACCAATTAATATATGATCATGGGGTTAATAGGTCATTGATTGATAAAATGTTTCAATCTATCATGTCTGCAATTGTTAGTGTTATTCGCTGTTAATAAATAGATTTAGCTCCAAGTGGTCCAGCATGTCCATCCACTCAAAGCACAACTTGCAACACAACAGTTGTTCTTACCAAATGGAACTATTAACATCATAGTTATAAACCCTTTATGAAGTGTGACCATTGTTTCTTATTCAACCAAGCAAAATCACCTGAAAGTGACAGCTGAAGTTTGAGCTTGGGACTTGATTTGGCTAAAAAGTTTCCTAACATCCACAGTTTGTAAGGATTTTCTTTTTGGTTTTGGGGGCTCTGTGCTAACAAATCGGATGCATCTTCAGTCATGTACAGGCAAACGCAATGTCCAATTCATGCTGCTGTGGATGAACATAATCATGAAATATCTACAATAGACATTCTGCTTTTAGTTGGTGCTTGTTTGACAAGATGCTGTGACTGTGTTGAGGTTCAGCAGTACATGCTTGTTTGAGTAGATCACAGTCACCACCAGCTTAGTAAATCACCTGAACAGTGGTTTGTTAATAACGCACACAAACACAGACTCCTTTTCATGGATGCTGCTACCAGACACACAGATGCAGGTTGAGATGCAGCGTTAGAGGCGTGTTCAACTACAGCAGCAGCTCGCTGCTGATACCTGTCATTGTGACGGCAGAGTCTAGAGTCTAATGATATTCTTTTGGACCAGCTCCAGGGGTCCCGGCCTGAGAGCCAGCTTGTCAGCCTCATCTGGGCCTCCAGAGAGGAGCCGTCTGAGACTGGGTCTGCACAACACACAGCAGGACACAGCAGGGAAACACTGCTAATATCCAGCTGATCAGTTGATCAAGATCTGTACTTACTGTAAGTACGGTTTACTCTGAGTTCTCCAGCTTTATTCATTTACCTCTATACATTTCAATTGAACTCCACAACGTTGATCTGAAAGACTGCAGTTACTAGTTATTAAAAAAAAACATATTTTGACCAAGTTAATCTGCAAAAAAACGTACGAGTAGTTCAAATAGTCTCTACTGGTCTATACAACAATTACTGTTCATGCTGCTTACACATTGATGCATCAGTGATAATAAATAAACTATGCATATGGCCTCCCTCAGCCTTCAACAATCAATATTTCTGTATTGGATCCCTTCCAATATCTGCTCGGCTTCTCCAGACAGACAGTACTAGGAAAATAAATGGAGTGGCTGTAATTAAAGGGCTGCAGCGGGTGAGATTTTCAACCTTCCACAATCTCGCCCTGTTAAATCCAGAATAAATAATCAGGGCCGGAGCTAACCTGGCTTGGTCTCCAATCTATCCACAGCCCTAACAGGACTGATTACCCAGCAGTGAGGAGCACACCTGATCACTCAAGCACCGGCTCTTATTTGGTCAAATATAATTCTAGTGGCATATTTCTGAGTGATGACATGGTGCCAAAGTAAAAGTAATGATATTGAGCTTTGTGCTGCGCAACTCACATCGATTTTTACCCACTGATGAAAAATGGATTTGAAATGTTATGCTTCATAAGAATTAAAGAAAGTGGAAATGAAGACGTGAGTTTGGTGAGGTATGTAATTGGAGGAGGATGAATGAACGGATAAAACACAGAAGGAAGAAGGACTTTTTGTGTAGGAGATAAAAATGAAAGAAAAGAAAGGAAAAAAAGACTTATGAAGAAAGTCAGGAAAGAGAAAAAGAAAAGAAGAATGGGTTGAAAGATGAACTGAGGGAGGACAGGTTGAACTAAAATGGTGGGATGAAGGAAGAAAAGAAAGAACGAATGAAATCTAATGTTGAAGGTAAAGAAAGAATGAAGAAAAGAAGTAAAACATTAAAGTTGAAATAAAAATAAAACAAGGAAGGAGAAGAAAGGGGAGTAAAGAAATGAAAGAATTTCTTTGGTAGAATTTCAAGTAGGAAGCAGGTAGAAGGGCAGTATATAAAGTAAAAAAAATATTGTTGGAAAAAGGAAAGAAGAGAGGAAAAGAAGGGAAGAAAATGTGAATGGTAGGAAGGAAGGAGGGATAAAGGTATGCAACACGGCAGTGAAGGGCTGAATGCCACTCAGATGATGATCCTGAATGCCAGCCGGGATCCAGTGGGGAAAGCGCAGCTGCCAGTCTGTGGCAGCTGGACCGCCATCGCCTTCTACCAGCAGGATGACGTCATCATCTTTTTATAAGTCAGCTGCCCACCGAGTCAGCCCCGCTGTCTCACACTCTCCTGCCTGACTTGTCACTGCCTGGCCTGATTTAAGACCTGATTTGACATCACAGGGACACACAGAGCTTTAAGTGTGTTTAAACTGTGTAACCAAACTGCCCAAAAACGCGTCCGACCGTGGCTGCACAGGCCCACTGGGGCATAAAGTAACATGATCCGGTGAGTCTGAAGCTGGCTTACCTACTTTTAAACATTCTGCAGCAGTATTAAAACATACGACGCACTCTAAACCTATTGCAAAACATATACCTGCTGACCGTATCTGTCAAATGTAAACACTACACTAAGAGGTAAGACGTATGGTGCATTAGGCAGGAATAATTCCCTTTGTGTTTCCATCTACTGAGGATTAAAGCACCGCTGCTGGGGGAATATAAATGTGTGTTTTTTTATGCAGGAAAAAGCACAGTAAACCTACAGCTACAGCCCTATTATCTTTATGAGGAAATATTAGATTGTATGTGTGTGTGCGTGTATTCAGACCCGTGGCCCTGCAGGCAGACAGTGTGCTCCTATGCAGGCCACACGCCAGTCAGGCCTGAGAGGCTGGGGCGGATTCTCCAACAGCCTAATAAACACCAGATGTTCCCTGGGTAATATATACACAGACCCTGTGCCGTGTCCATCTCCCCAGCAGGAATAACACAGCCAGCATCTGAAGGATCTACAGCAGCAGAAGAGGAGGATGCTGTGCCGCCATGAAAAATCTAATTTTTTGAAATGAAGAGCTGGAAGAACAAATAGCGCAGCTGCTTGAGTAATAAGACATCTAGTGCATTTGTGTGAGAAAGGGTGTACCAACATAATACAAGTCTTTGCAACCCTCTTCCATGTGCGCCATCTCCTGCAATCAAGACGTAAACGGCCAATTGAAATTTCTTTTTTTAACAAGCGCTTGCAGCCCGGCTGGCCAATTGCGTTCCTCCTTGCTTCCTTATCTGTGACAGACTCCTAGAAACTGATAGGGCCTCGCCGGGCCCCTGGATTCCATTCCCCCGCACACTTACCAGCAGTTTATCTGGAGGCTGGAGCCTCTGTGAAATGGCAAACAGTGCCAGAGATATCATTCAACAAATCCCTGGTCTGCATTTCAAGTCCCCCAGTCCCCTGTTGGCATCGCTCACTGCTCCCATATTTGACGAGACGACGCAGTGCTGCTTTAAAGTATAAGGAATTGATAAGATCTGAGTTTATACGTGTCTATCTGCCATGAGCTGTCTCATGCATCAACAAACTTTAGGTTTCTTATGAGTATTTGAAATGTAATCTTGTAAATGCCAGTAAAAATATGTGTATGACATTTGTGGCCTGTGGTGTGTTGGCCACATTACAGTGCTACCACGACCTAAAGAACATGAGAGGCCATTAATTATAATAAGGATATAAGAGTATGCTCAGTACACTCAGGTCTACTTGTTCTCATCACTGTGACATTAAAAGTACAAAGCATCTGTCTTATAAGAGGCAGCTCATGCTCCATGTTGTTGTGATTGGGCGTGCCTCTTTGCAGGCACTGTGCTGTAAACAGGTGCCGTCTATGTAAATCTGTTTCTTCTGAGGCCGAGAACCTCTTCCAGCACAAGAGCATTCCTCGGCGGTCACTCACCAACCTGTCTGCATACGCGCTGGCTGCCTGTCTGTCTGCCTGTCTCTCTGTCTGTCTGTCTGTTGGGTGCATGTATCCACCTGCTTCCCCTGCGTCCGCCTTTGTATCTGTCACTACCCGTGGATTTATCCGTCTCTGGAGTCTGGATCTGCTTCTCTTTGGAGCATCTGTCATCTGAACTGTTTTCTTTTCTTCCTACCTGAGTCTCAGTGTCTGTCTTCAATGCTTTAATCTGCAGTGTAAGTCTTTTGTTCAAACAATATTCACTACAACCACTTTTATTCCCAAAATAACTACAGCAGTTTATTTCACTGATGTGTTCCCTCTTTTTGGTTGAATTCCATCAGTGGAATAATCTGCTGATTCCTGAGCTACACTTTTCATCTGTCTCTCCGTCCTTTGTTCGCTCTTTTTTCTTGTTCTTTTACAAGCGGCTGGCATGTGATTTCATTTCATTCATTTTAAAACTGCAATAGATAATCACAAATCAGTCATATCTTTTTCTTTTTACATGTCATGATATATGTCAGACTCAATGATCTGATTCATGTGAAATGATGCTTCTGTGTTCCAAGGTTCCAATCTAAGATTACGGATTGAGCCAAGGAGACCTGCAATTACGGGGCAAATATGAAAAGGCAATAACCACTCATATTTCCCACAATGAGCTGGATTTCACATCCATGTTGCTCTCCTCTGACTTTTTTTACTGGACTACATTACTTTAAGAAATCTGTTCTATATTTGGTTATTTCATAGCTGAATATGTGTATTTAAAGCTGAATTAATTATTATTTTTATATAAACAATTGAACAAATGACAAAAGACTTCCCCTCAGCTCTACAGAGATCTTCTGTTTTGGTTCACTCTCACCGCTCTCATCTGTGGTATTTCCCGACACAAGAGGCAGCTCTTTTCAGAGAAAAACATGATTTACTAAGAGCACACTATCTGCCCAGCATCAAACGGACAATGTTATCAACTAGCTGGTAAACACAGAGGAGCATTTAGAAGCTAAGGACTCAGGAGTTTGTGGAGAACAAAACAGAGCAAGAAGGAGACACCATGTTGGATTTGCATTAGGAAGAAGAACAACGCCATCTGAATGCTAATGTTGCTCTGGGTCTGCTGGAAGGTTTGCAAACATGTTAGCCGTGTCAACTTTATAAAGTGATAATATGTCAGTGTTGTGTTGACAGTTTGTTCTGCTGCCCCCAAGTGGCCAGAAATATCATTCTCAAACCCAATCACCATGAACAAATGTATGTACAGATATGTTGAATGTGGACGTTTTCTCATTTAGGCATATCAATCAACGTAGTACAACGAGCAACTGTTTATTAAGCTCTGTGCACTAGACTGCAGTTCACTGTGTAACGCTTCATGATGACTGTTTAAAGCTTCCTCTGTTTAGGAACAGTACAGTCCTGCTATGTGTTGAGGGACTGCCCACCAGCTGCTAACAGCTAACTAGCTCTCCTCTTAAAATAAGAAAACATACTCCTTTGTACACAGTGTAAGATTCAGTTTGTCATTTGCTAAGCAATCGTTATTCATACATAGCCTGTATACAATTATCTTACCTTGGCCTGCAAATCAAGACAATAACAATTCCTAAACTCTCGCAGAAACAAGATTCCAAACTGAAGCAGTTGTTTATGACTTGCGTAGAGAGTAGTGAGGAGTCAATGACGAATTTCAGTCATAAATGAGCACGAAAATATTAGGCTAATGGGTCCAGTAGTATACGAGAGTAGCTGATAGACAGATGCACACACATGCACGCAGACACATGACCAAACACATAATCTCCTCGGGCTAAGCCTGGCGGAGTTAATAAAGGTCATGATAACGCCATTTTCCTTAACATGTGATACAACGTGGTGTCAGATCAGCCAAAAAGAAAACATTTTCTAACTTCCCCCCAGCATCTGGTATCTAACCATGAAGATGGTTTTGGTTTTATTTGTCAGGGTTGTTGGTCGTGGCAGCAACATCTCGTCTCAGAAACTATGTCCCTATTACTCTGGATAATCCACAAAAGAAGTTGTGTACTGTTTCTGTTACAGTTATGTCTTTCTGTTCACAGCATGTTGTGTGAATTACCCAGAGTAACAGGGACATTGTTTCTGAAAACATAGCTTAATGTTTTATTACTAATTGGTCCAACGGATGATGTGTCCTCTTGCTTGTTCATTGTGTCTCACCTTTCCCCTCTGTCTGTCTTAATCATACTGCATCTAAAAAGCATGTAAGTGGAAATGTGTGTGTGTGTGTGTGTGTACGTGTGTGTGTGTGTGTGTACGTGTATGTGCCTGCATGTGCGGCAGCTCAGTGTTGGAAGGCGTTACTCACGAGGCATGATGCCTTGGTCTGCCAGCTGCTCTCGTGTCCTCCTCTGCTGAAGTCTTAACTGTAGGACTGAAGTTGGAGGAAGGAGGATGAGGGGAGGAGTACAAAGAAGGGGCAAAGATGAGAAAGAGATGTTGAAAGACAGGTAAGGGAGAGACAAAAAGCAGGAAGAGACTGAGAATTCAACCCATGTTACATGCTGTTTCATAATTCTAACTTGCAGTTTGATTAAGATTACTTTCACTCATGGACGTGCAGACAGTGCTGTCATCCCAAGTCTTGGTTAGGACCCTTGGCGTCACGCACTGAGCTCAAACGAAAACACTTGCTTAGGTTTGGGGAACAAAAGCACGTTTGGCTTGTGCAAGTGTAATTTAATGTTGTGAACACAAAGACAAAAAACTGGTTTCACACGTAACAGGAGCAGCTGTCTCCTGGGTGAAAGTCCTGTCCACCTCCCCTCCCACCCAACCTGTATAGATTGTTTACGGTTCATACTGCGTCATCACACTCCCGGAGCATTTGCTCTGAGCGTCTAATAATAACACCGATGGGTTTACTTTGTATAGCTACTTAGAAGCCCAGTGGGTTGCATACAGATACTAAAGGGTACCTTGTGCGTCGGCATCAGACGGGCCATAACAAATCATCACTATCTGACATCCTAGGTTCCATCGTGGCCAACGGGGTTAGGGGTTTAGGAGGTTCATAGAGAAAGCAGGCCCACTAATAACATGCTGGGTAATACCTGACTGCCTTAAAAAGATACAGAGAGCTACTCTGGAATATACAGTTGTGTGAAAAAGTGTTTGCCCCCTTCCTGATTTCTTTTTTTTTTGCATGTTTGTCACACTTAAATGTTTCAGATCATCAAACAAATTTAAATATTAGAGTAAGATAACACAAGTAAACACCCTTGGGCCACCCTTAGCAGCAACAACTGCAATCAAGCGTTTGCGATAACTGGCAATGAGTCTTTTACAGCGCTGTAGAGGAATTTTGGCCCACTCATCTTTGCAGAATTGTTGTAATTCAGCCACATTGGAGGGTTTTCGAGCATGAACCGCCTTTTTAAGGTCATGCCACAGCA